TTCCCAGTCAGGGCACATACCTAGGTTTTGGCTTCAATCCCTGATCAGGGCATGTACAGGAGGCAACGGATCAATGTTTCTCTCTCACATCAATGCCTCTCTCTCTCTCTCCCTCCCCCCCACCCCAAACTCAATAAAAACATATTCTTGGGTGAGTGTTTAAAAAAAGGAAAAGGAAGTTAGAAACATCAACTTAAAGAAAATATTTAAGGTAGTAGAAAGGAGGTATGTATACGGCAAACAGTAAACAGGTGCATGAATAACAATATTTAGGAAACTTGGCCAAGGCGCTACTCATCTCTGTTGCCCGTGTGAATTATTAGCAGGAGTTGGATCAGCACCTTGGAGAGCACACGTGCTGGGTCTGGGAGGGACCCCAGCTGCATCCCCATCCCCCGTGGCCTCCTTAGTGACAGTCGGGCCCTCAAGCGCTAACTGAGAAGGCTAGGGTTTTGTTTTCACCTCTCAAGTTCTGATTTTAGTGCTGCTTAGATGCATATAGAGCAGTGGTTCTCAACCTGGGCTGCACATTAGAATCACCTGGGAATCTTTTTAAAATCCTGATTTCTGGCCCTCATCCTCTGGAAATTCTGTTTCTTTGTGACTAATGTTGTGACCTCACCCCATAACAAAGAAACAGAATTTCCGGAGGATGAGGCCCAGAAATCAGGATTTTGAAAAGATTCCCAGGTGATTCTCATGTGCAGCCAAGGTTGAGAGCCACTGATATAGGGTAACAGACCTGGATGGGACTTTTTGAAATGATCAATGTAATATGTGAGCCCCAACTTCTAAAGGCTCTCCACTTTTTTCTTTTCCTTTCATACACTAACTTCCTATTTGGTTTACCCCCAGCTTATGCTGTGCTTCAGGAAAAGCAGCACTAACACCTGGAACGTCCCATGATTTGAACCAAGGACATGTCACTGGGAGGAGGAGCTTGAAGTCTTGTGCGTGTGGGTGTGATAGATTGGGAGTTTTAAAGGGGAAAGCAGAAGGTCTCTTGTGTCCCCAAGAAAAACTCCAACAGCAGCTGAAAAGCAGAGAGTGTAGCTGAGAGATTAGCTTTCCACCAAAATTGTTCTCCCGGCCTCCCTTGCATGAGGGAAGGCCATGCGACTAAGTTCTCTCTAACAGTGGGTGGGCAGAAGCGAAGGGTACCATTTCCAAACTAAGACTTTTCGGAAGCAGCTTGAGCCTCCTCCATACTCTCTTTCCCCTCTGCCCCTGAATGTAGACAGAACAAGACCTTAGGAATTGATGGAGCCACATGAGATGGAAGGAACCTGGATCCCTTAACCACTACATGGAGGATGTGGGCGAGGACAGAAACACCCATCTGGTACTGCTGCATGAGTGAAAAGGAAGCTTCCATGGTGTCTGAGACAGTACACT